CAGGACTCAGACCCCAGGCAGCAGGCCCACCCTCCCATCGGGAACTGTGAACAAGGAGCTTGTAAAATACACAGACCAAAAGAAAATGACCCCTATTGACTGAAACCAGCTGTGTCAGGCTTCTCACTGTCTCTCCTGATTTGCTCTCTCAAATAAATGGATGTGGTAGGGGACGATAGAAAGTAAACAATCATTTTTTTTCCTTTCTTGCAGTCACACCTCCATAAGAGTCCTGATTTTTATAGCTGAAAAATATATGTTTATTTGCTCATTAATTTTCCTCTCTCTCTCCCTTGCCTTTTCTTGGCGTTGGGTAGAATGTTACTAAAAACAAGACACAGTTCAGCTTCACAGAGAAAAATCATTCTGCGAAATACAGCTTGGACTCATTTACTGTTCATTTATCATCTCTACAAGAGTAGGGTACAAATATCTATATTTGGTATATTTTAATGATTTACAGTGCAGTGACTCTTGTTGGCACCAGGCTAGAGGGAAGCAGTAGGCCTTTTAGGACTTTGAGAAGTGCTCCAAACTGTTTAGAAATGACACAGAGAATATTAAATGTGGCATGTGCTGAGCAGCATGATTATCATTGATCTTCACCATTTTCCTTCAAAGATGATGTAGGCTGGTGCTTGGAGGGTGGACTCAACCCGAAGGCCTGAGATTCTCTAAAAAAAGATGCTTGAAAGTCTTCATTTCCACCCTTAAGTGTGTATTTTTTCTCTCTGGTGCTTTGAAAAAGCTTGGATTTTATGCATCTCCCATTTCCTTCATGTAGTGGGTAAATAATGATGCGCCTAACTCAGTGCCCAATAAATATTTGTTGAGTGAGTAAATAGTTAAACGGAATGTTATAGCCTTACTAATATTATTGTCTTGGCGTGAAACATGCAAGAATAGACTTGAGGCAATCAAGTAATTTCCCTTAACAGTACAAGCTAATTATTTGAGAGATGAAAATCTGGTACATAGTATTTATTTGTCAGGCTCCATTTGCTCCTAATTAAAGGTGGAAAACTTGTTTGTAGCATCGAAGGCATAACATAGTGACCCACTCCTAAACGTCTTTTCAATTCTCCATGCCACTTTTTTCAGGGAAAATATATCGAGATCGAGTTAATATGCATTCCTTCTGTTTATTTATGTTTTCTTTTTTTTCTGTTTTCCTTTTTTAGAGGGCGGGCAGCATGCGGAGCAGGGAGCTCTTTCGCAGTGCACTTTTACAGCCCATCTGCCTGCATGCTTCTGTAGTCGATTCTGCTGACCTTGGTTGCCTGATAGAATCATCCTCCCATGCAAATACCGCCTGTGTGATCCAAAACAAAACTGTAGCATCCTCATCATAAGCCTCAGAAAGTGTGATTCATTATTCATTCATCCAATCATTTAGACATTCCAAAAATATGAATTCAGTGCCTACTATGTACCAGGATCTGTGCTAAAGCTGTGAATTTCACACTAAGCGAAATCTACCATGGTTCCTGCCCTCATGAAGCTTACTATCTGGGATGGTTGATGGATATTAATTGAATAATCATTCAAAAAATCGTAACTACAACCTGAATTTTAAAAAGAGGAATATGGCTCTACTGGGACCATATAACAACAGGAATTGATTTAGACCATGAGACCAGGGAGAATTTTACTAAAGAGTAGCCTGGAGCTGAGAGATACAGAATGTCCGAAGAAAGGGAAGGATCATTCCAGGCAAGAAGACCGTCAAATGCACAGACCCGTGTGGTGTGTGGGGAAAGCAAGGGCTGATGGGAAGGAAGAGCCACACATTGGAGTGCCTATGCATAGGCCACATCAAGGCCTTCATCCCATGAGCATCAGAAAGACATAAAAGGGTCATATATTCACGGGTTATAAGTGGGGATGAGGATGAGGGACCTTGTCAGATCTATGTTTCGTAGTGGTGGTGGTCGGGAATATAAGTATTGATGCTTCACAAATACAGCAGGGAGGTGATCACGCTAAGCCCTAGATGACCCTTTGCTGCATTTGAGCTTCCTGGAAATTCTTACCATCCACCCCTCCCTCTGGCGAGGTTCAGAGGGTGCGCATCCGGGTCTCTGTTGTATGCTGAGCAGCACACGCACAGCCCACTGCCAGTCAGTGTGTCAGAGGCGTCTCATCCTGCCAACTTTCCTAGCCTCTTCTCTTATTTTTTGCCTTTCTTTTTCATGACGGGGAGGTAGCATAACACAGCTTATTCCTGTTTACAACAAACTGTGCATGGCATGCCTTCTGGAACCTTCTCTCCTGATTTAGAGAACAGGCTCTGGAAGTAGCACACCTCCACCCCTTTCCAGAGATGTGAACTTGGCACATGGCTAAGCCGCTCTTTTAGCCTCGTTGGGTTGTTGTGAGGATTAGGTGAGTTAATACTTGTAAAAGACAGAATGAGGAGTGGCACATAGTGAGTACTCAATTAATGCCAGCCATTATCATTAGCCGTTTCTTGCTGATAAACACAGGTGTCAAAGATATATTGTTAAAGTGAAAAAAACACAAGATACAAAACTATATGTCATAAAAGGACTTGCACAAATCTGTTCTTATAAATGCTAAGAAAATGTCTGAGGACACGTGGTGGTTACATCTGAGTAATGTGACTGGGGCTTAAAGAGAAGGGTAGGCAAGTGGCTTTACTTTTTCACCTCATAGTCTTGTAGTAGTTGACTTTTTTTTACTATGTGGGTGCATATTTTTATAATAACGAAATTACAAATAGTTTAGACAGTCCATTAACCTGAAACTAATATAAAATAATATTTAAAAGAGAAAGAAAATTTATTAATATTATTTAATATGTCAACTTTTTAAAAATAAAATTATTTCATTATAGTCTTTTTTCATAATTTTCTTCACTGTTAAGTTTGGAGATGTCATTTAGAAACTTTTCTTGAGGTAAAAACCCATATATCTGAAGTCCAGCCATTTATTTGATTTTCGTTTCTTTTCCTTATGTTATATTCAACCCAAAGCTTTAAAATCACATGCTATTATGATCCCACTGTTATGAAATTATGCTGCTTGCTCCTTCATCTCTACATGTGCACACAGAGTCATCTGGAATGCTCTTCACTCACCAAATATAAACAACGCATTTGGTTCATTCGTTGCTGACTTCATTGTACTTTTAGCACGGCTTAAATTTTTTGTAATGAGCATTTTTATAAAAACAATGAAAGCATTTCCGAAAATTGAAGATGAGGCGTATTCATTTACTCTTCCTAAACACATATCCAGCATCTAACCTTTCCCAGGAAGTCAGGAAACAACTTCTTCAGGATTACCGTGATGAAGGACAGTAGCTGTTGCTCATGAACAAGGAGGCAGGTGGGCCTAGTGGTTCCTGGATCAGGGTGTAGGAGGTGTTTCCCATGGTTATCTAATACTAACATACAGTCTAATGAGTCTCAATCCCCTCCTTTTTTTTTTTTACAGGTGGAGTCTCTTTATGTTTAACTAAAGATTTTGATGAATAGAATTGGTATTTATCAAATAACGATTGAGAACCATTAATTTTGTACAGGGCTGGAACATGGTGGCTTTGATCATCATTTAGATACACCTCTTCTTTTTCACAGTGAATACACACCACTGTCATCAATCAGATAAGAACACAAATCAGGAGAGAACTTTGAGCTCCCTAGTAAAGGCATGAAGCTCCCTAGTAAAGGCATGAAGCCAATGCGAGCTTGCCAACCAGACTGTCATCTCTGCATAAGATACAATTTCAAGGAGTAACTGTATTGTACAGTACTTAGCACATGGGGCCCCTCAGATATGATGATACATCTCTGTGTACAAGAAAAAACAATTTTGAAGAAAACTGCAACTCAACCAATGACCAACTGATTGTTTAAATCGAGGCCAGGAAATGATGGCCCGTGGGCCTAATTTTGCACAGCACATAAGCTAAAAATGGATTTTACATTTTTAAGTAATTTTTAAAAATCAAAAGTAGAATAGCCTTTTATGTTATATGAAAAGTCTGTGAAATTCAGATTTCCCAACCCTAAATAAAGTTACATTGAAACATAGCGTGCTCATTACATACTGTAGACAGTATGTAAATGCACTCCGTATGTAAATGAACTCAGTATGTAAATGCACTCATAGGGGAGAGTTGTCACTGTGACAGCAAGTGGAAGGCATGCAATGACAAAAAATATTTACTATATGACTCTTTATAGAAAAAGTTTGCTGACCCTGCTTTAGATTTAAGTAGAAGTTATTTCTATGCATGTCCGTTTGCTTGTTAAAGGGCAATGCTTTTGTGTTAGAAATATACCTGTTAATGTGGCCATCAGAGAAGCTATTCTGCTTTTCTCACTGGCTTTCCAAAGTCTGAAGAAAGTTATTGTGTGAAAAAAATTAGATTATCATGAAGGACTACAAGTAACATCATGGTAACAAATGGAAAAGCCTTACATGTTGTCTTCAGAAGTTATGGATTATAATATAATTTGAAGGTCTTAAATAGCATTAGTACTGTTCCCATATTCTAAAATTTGTAGTTATTTCCTCCTCATGTCTGAGAAATCTTTTGAAAGGCAAAAACTTTTTATTCTTGTGACTTAAAAAACACAGTGCCATATCAGATGGGCCCTTTGCTCAGTGGCATTACCATATCGAATGGTTTTATTTGGTTTTTACTTGTATTCAGCTGTAGGTTATGATGAACAATTGGATAATAGGAAATACCTTTTAGTAGAATGTCTAAATCTTGATACAGTATCTCGCTCATTTGCTGTGGCAGTTGAATTAATAAACATTTATGGCTGACGTTAACCCTCGTACCTCTCATAAGATATATGAAGAAATGAATTAATATAAAAGCCAGACTGCTACCAGGAAAAAAAAAATGTTAGCAACAGCACCATAAAGTATTACAGAATTGAAAATATGAGCCATTGGATTAGAAATTCCTATTGCGTGCGTGACTGACCTCAGCTGTCCCCTCTTGTTTCATTCCGTTTCAGAGGTTGAAGGCCGCACTGACTCACCATCCTGCTGCCATGGCAAATGGGAATATGAACACCATGGGACACATGATGGAAATGATGGGCTCCCGGCAGGACCAGACGCCGCACCATCACATGCACTCCCACCCGCATCAGCACCAGACACTGCCGGCCCATCACCCCTACCCGCACCAGCACCAGCACCCAGCACACCATCCTCATCCTCAACCCCATCACCAGCAGAACCACCCACACCATCACTCCCACTCCCACCTCCATGCACACCCGGCACATCACCAGACCTCGCCACACCCACCCCTGCACTCCGGCAACCAAGCACAGGTAAACCCTTTCCCTGATCTCTTTCCCCTTCTTCTTAACAGAGCAAGCTCTGAAGCGGGGAGGGGTTCAATGGCAGCGACCTTGTTTGACAAGCCCAGGTGTTCTGTCTCACACTCCGGAGAGCTCTGTTCATTTCCTAGGAGGTAATGGTTACCCATGAGGTCCTACCAGATCCTAGTTTCTATAAGTAATATGGTAAATTTCCAGTCTAGCCTCTAGAGATAAATGTAAACTTCAAATATTCCAAAACTGATTTTTGCTGTATGTTACAGTTAACTCTAAAAAAGTAATACCGATGGCAGGATTAGGAAGAATTTAAGCATGTGAAGAAAGATGTGAATGAAGAATGAGAAAACTCGGTTAATTCTAACTGTGGTTCTAGCCACCGTGTTTTATAACATCATCGAGACTCAATTTTGTCTCCTGTAAAATGGAAGTAAAATACAATGGACAATCTTCGAAGTAACATTAAATGTTAGAAACCTAAAGAGTAACAATTCCAGGCAGACAAAGAGGCTCGGTAATGGATGTCGGGGCATAAGGTGCTGTGTAAACGGTGAAGAGAGGTGACTCATCCCACCCAGTGTGAAATGCGTTGGAGGAAGCCGACAGAGAGCCAAGTGCCATAGAGGATCAGTGTGAGAGGAGGGCCAAATCCCAGGGGTGGAGAGTCACCAGGAGTGGCTAGAGAAAAAGCCAGCATTTAGACTCTACCAAAAGAGGTTTGGGGGACCAGGCAGACGTTATGTCACCAAGCCCAAGAAGAGAGGCGGGTCCTTGTACCCACTTGAGTTTTAGTAAGTGGATGGAGGGCATGTCTAGGAACAGGGCTAGCCCTGGACACTTTGGATCTTCGAGCAGGATGACCTTTGTCAGTCCCCTCCACACATTTCACACTGCCAGCTTCCAACCAGCTGGGTCAGAGTGGTGTCCGAAGCTTGGGACCGCCAATAACACTTATTCATCATCTGCCTCTGGACCTCACACCAGGCAGCTTCTTGAGCTCTTGAACCCTCTTCCCTAACACTCACCCAATCTGGACAGCCATCCACAAAATGGGTCGTTCACAAACAACTCTCAGCTGATGAGCTATTCAGTAGACAAGCTTACTTGTTAGATAAGCTTACGTTTGCAAAGGTTCTTAGAGGTATCCTGTACAGCAAATAAGAATGCAGGCTTCAGAGTGAGAAAACTTTCACCCTGTTACCATCTTACTTCCTACTGTGTGACTGTGGTCAGATTAACCTCCCTAAGCCTCAGTTTTCTCATCCACAAAATGGGATAATAAGAGACTAAGCTCATAGGTTCTTGGGATCATTAAGTAAGCAAATGTCTGTAAAGCCCTCAGCACAGTTTTCAATACATGTTGGCCAGGATTCATTCTAAACTGAAGTAATGCGACGGAAGTTTAGCAAGCAGTGTAGCAATAAAACGTCATCTAAAGCACCGTTTTAGTCAAATACCATAGTAAGACATGTATTTATAAGCGAGAGAGAGAGAACTACAAAGTCCAAGATGGGCAAATAGACTCATATGTGTACTTATTTTTTTAAGGAAAAAGATAACATCAAGTTTTGGTTGCCTTTGTGTGCAAGTTACTTCATAGACAAGTTTAACAGTTCATTGAATATAAAAGCCATTCATTAACTAATTACCAGTTAGCCAATTGCCTTCCATTTCAAGTCAGTAAGAGGCCAATTGTATTGCAGTTAGTTCGTTGCTATTATAATTAGCTGAACAAACGTTTGCTCTTTTACCCTATACTAAAAAGAAAAAGACCAAGTTGGTCTTGTTAAAATGTGAACAAATCATTTAGACAGTATTCAAAATGTTGGCTCTTAACTTGTGTTAACTTGTCTGATTACTGAGATCTCGTCATATTGCTTAATTGTATGATTATCTGAATAGTAGACATAGAGGCTTATTAAGGTTATTCCAACTCTGAGATTCTAAGATGATTTGAAATAAATTCTATCTTCTTGAAATCACAATTCATTCTTTTTGGTCAAAATTTTCAGATTGTCTGTGCCAACAGAATTCCATTTTAAAAATAAATGTTAAGTAACAATAATTACCAGGGACACAAATTCTGGCCTTAGGGTTGCATTTGCAATTTCTCCTGACTTCCAGTGATTCTCTTGCACATAAGAATGCGATTTCAGAGTCCTGGTGTCACTCCTCAGCCACCAAATTTCTCGTAATCATACTACACCTTGAACCCTGAACCTGGACTCAACCTGAAACCACCACATAACTTACCCCTTTGGGTGAAGGCACAGGACAAGTGTCAGAGGATAAAGATGGGTTAAAGTTAGAGGGGGAGGATGCCGCTTTGAGAGAGAGGTCTCTGCACTGGGGATTAAAACTCAGTTTTGCCTGCTTGAGAGTCTTACCTGAGGCTGACAATCGAGATCATTAATTCACAAAAATAAATGATTAAGGCAAAACAGCCAAGTGAGCAAGTTCTCTCCTAGTGCTTTGCTTTGTGGTGGCATCTGAAGGGACAAGTGCTAAACCTTTGCTAGTAACAAGAATTACTTTTCGTGGCCACTCTGGTGAGTAAGACCTTAGACAATTTATTTTGTTATTCCTCTGTGATGGGAAGAAAAGGAATCACCCGTAAAACGTTTTAGAAAATGTCTTTGCTTTAAATAAAATTACTGAGGTGCAGTCCAACCTCAGTCTTGAGCCTAATGCTTTTACAATTAGTCATATAAGATTTGATAGAGTTTAGGATGAAAATATATCACCAGCGGTCAGCTGATGTCAGCCCGTAGCCATTATTAGCGCAATTACAGTCCTTCTGATTGATTTCAATCACAGGGTTGGAATGTGGTAGAAAAGGTTGCTGGACTTCAGTTTTAAAACTTTTTGCCTGTTATTTCTGCAGGTTAAATGTCTCTTGTAAAACAACTTTATAGGTAGTGCAGCCATAAGCCTGAGTGACTAAGAAATGAGAGAGAGGGAAAAAAAGAAAGAAAGAAACACCCTTTATTGAGAACGAAGAAGGGGGAAGGAGTGAAGTGCATTAGCAAAAGCATTAGGTGTCCAGACACATAAAGAGTCAGTCGTAGAAATTTCACTAGGTGCTGTGTGTCTGCCTCGTGAAGGGAAATAAAGCTATACGTGTGGGGGGCTCCCAAACCTTAGATGTTGCTGAGCCCCGTGCAGATCTTACGAGGCATCTGTAAGCATAGTAAAACTTTTTAATAAAGTGCTTTGCCACTCCTAGGATTTCCTTATAATGTAAGTGAATGGGGGAGCACAGCAGACCCTCCCTGTTGCACCCGCGTGGTGTATAACAGGGCTCAGTGCTGCTTCGGGCATCGTCGCACACCTTTAAGGGCCCTGCTTCCCAATCACCTGGAAAGGCCTCCTGTAACTCCCTCCACTTTAATCAAAGCTCTGAGGAGCAGGCAGATCCATCTGGAGTCTGTAGGCTCGGCTAGTCCTTAGCGTTCAGAACCGTGAAATAGCGAAAATCAGATTCCAGCTGACGTCTGGGCTTCACAGGTTTCTTTTGACGGGAGTCACAGCGGAGATCGGTCCAGAGGTGTGTTCTGGGAACACGGCTTTGACACCGTTAGAATGAAAGGGGCTCAGAGGCTGCCCGGAAGGAGTTCTCTGCAGGTGACAGACGACTCATCAGTATTGTAATGATAACCCTGACGTCTCTGTGTTCACCTGTGGCCATACACTGGCTCTTTAAAATCTTCAAACGCACCTTAAATAAAACGTTTGTAACATCTGAAGGAGAAAAAAGTATGTTTTCTCTGCCGTGATTCAGCTAAATACCTGTGGGGGAGTGGGGGGTGGAGAAATCTATTTGGTTCTTTTCACAAGTCATTCCTATATCTTGCCGAAGATATAGAAGATAACTATATCTCCTATAGAAGATAGCTCAGCGGATGCCTTTTCAGGAGCATGATTTCATTCTTAGAAAACAAGTTTGATGTGCTCACTAAAGCAACGGACTTCTCTGTGCTTTGCATTGCAACGCTGGCCAGGCTTTCTCCCCCTACCCGACGTGTTTCTTCCCCACCCTGTCACCCCTTCCCTCTCATTTCCAGCAGGTTTCACCAGCGACGCAACAGATGCAGCCAACCCAGACGATACAGCCGCCCCAGCCCACAGGGGGGCGCCGGCGAAGGGTGGTGGACGAGGATCCTGATGAGAGGAGGCGGAAATTTCTGGAACGAAACCGAGCAGCCGCCACCCGCTGCAGACAGAAGAGGAAGGTCTGGGTGATGTCACTGGAAAAGAAAGCTGAAGAACTCACCCAGACAAACATGCAACTTCAGGTGCAGGCCACTGTCTCTCTCCTCGGGACTCAAAGGCCCTGTGTGCTGGCACTTCCCGTCCCAGCAGGCCCGTGTTGACCCAAGCAGTCATGCCACACAGTAGCCCACAGAGCCACTGCAGGCTTATTCCTCCAGCTTTATTCATTCGGGGACACTCTACGAAACAAAATATACCATTCAGTTTTAAATCAGTCTGCCTACAAAGCTCTGAGGAGGGAGAACCTTCCTGACTAAGTTACACAGGCTTTGGTCAGAGGTTCAAACTCTGGTTCGGCCATTATTTGTTGTGTTTACTCTCTCTGGCTCTCATTTTCTTCATCTATAAAATGGGAATCATAACCTCATAGATTTTTGGGGAGGAATAAATGAACTAATGTGGACAAAGCCGTTTGCCCAGTGCCTGGCACATAATAAATTTCCAGCTGACAGGCAGCTCTTTATATTCGCCGGGTGAGGGGTTGCTTCGGCTTACACTAGGTTATCTATGTTTGTGTTTAATGGAGGAAAAGAAGGTTTGTGTTTATAATTTAGCTCTTTAGGAAAAGGTGTGTTTCTCATTTTCAAACTTGACGAGATTTGAGTCTTGCATGATTTTTGCCTTACATGGGTGGTTCGACTGGGGACCTTTTATAATGGCCACTTGTAGGAGTGCTTGAGAGAAGGAGAGGAAACTCCTGGACCTGGGGCTTCTCCAGCGGACTTCATGCCACACAAATGATGCAGCTCAGGGCATTCGTTCTAACACGGACAGGGTGCACTGTTCACCAGCAGGGAAAAAAGCCACCAAATCGGCATGTGACAAGCAGTCCAAGGACAGCAGTGAGAGTTGTAGATTAGAGCCCAGCACTTCCAGGAGCAGAGAGGATGGCTGTGAGTGGAGGGAAGGGGAGACAGGTCGCTCCAAGTAGGGAGCCTCTGTTCCTCAGTAGTTCATAGGTCACTTTCACCTCGCCGCACCTGGTCCTTGGTGCGTCCCTAGAAAGGAGCGATTAGGGGGCCAAAGCCTCAAAGCCTTTGCATATTTGATCTCATTAATAGGAAATGGACTTGGGACATCCAGTATACAAATTAAAAATATACGAAGAAAGTTCAGGTTACACATGAAATGAACATCATAATTTGTGGATGTTGACTTTTTACCCTAAATTGTGTGTGTGTGTGTGTGATAAAATACACACACCGTAAAAGAGAGAGAGAGAGAGAGAGAGAGACACATGAGAAAGACACTGGGAAACATGCAGCATGTGTGAGGGAAATAAGATTATGATTTTTCTCACTCACTTTTATGAAGTGGGGGGCTCTGTCTCATTTCCCTTTTGCCCCACTACCTACACCCTGTTGCTAATCTGGTATCCAGCAAGCATGGTGAGTTCCCAAGTATCTACATTCAATATCTTTTTGTTGAATAAATGAATGAGTTCCCCATCTCTAGAGTGTCTAAGAGCTGGCTGCCTGACCACTTGGCAAAAATGTGTTTGAAGGATGTCAAGCCACAGTGGGATGGCTGGACTCAAACACCTCGAAAGTCACTCCAACTTGAAAGTCTATAATTCTAGAATCTGGCAGGCACAGTAGTATGTGAGAAGCTTTTAGGTAGAACATTGGTAATACTTTTAATAGTCGTAGCAATCATTTTCCTTTTCATGTGAATTGAGAAAGGTAATTAGAACATCAAACCTTCAGTTTCACAAAGACTATTGGTAAGGATGGTGCTAAATCATTTTTTTAAAAATGAGTTAATTCGTACAAAGATGTTCAGTAAATAAAAGTTCTGGTGTATGTGAACCTAGTAAATATGACAGCAGTGGTCTGTGATGACTAAAGTGTGGGAATCCCTGGAATTTGCTACCAATTCTGAGATCAGGTCTGCAAGAGGACCATGAAAATGTGCAAGTTTTCTCAATCTTGGCACTGTTGACTTTTGGGACTTGATGATTTTTTGTTGTATTCTGTTCTTGGTAGATATTTAGCAGTATCCTTGATCTCTACCCACTAGATATCAGTAGCACCCTCTACCCCACCCTCCGGTTGTAACAACCAAAAAGTCCCCAGATACTGCCGAATGTCCTCTGTAGGGGCAAAATCATCCTTGGTTGAAAACCACTGCTTTAGATGAAGGAGCCAGCTGGCATGTGTCAGATGCCAACAAACATTTCAATCAGTTTCAACTGAAATGAGTCCTTGCAGAATTACTCCAGCACAGTGACTGTGGTCCTCCATAGTGACTATGAAACCTTGCGGGGAGTCCTAGCAGAGAGCCAGGAAAAGTAAAGATGCTGGTCGACTCCAGGGTCAGATGTGTTCATGGCTTGGCATATGTTTATATGTTATCACTTTTACAAAACACATAAGGTAAATTTACCCTTTCTGAGACCCTAATCCATTAATTCTCACATTTCTTAGAGCCAAATGGCTAACAAAAAGAGATACTAGAATTCTAGACTCCGAAAACCAGGAAAAAAATCCTATTAGGGCCATTCAACAGGCACCAATACTTTCGGTTGTTAAAGTGATGCCCGAGGAAGGGATAGTCTCTGAAAAGACAGTCTCTGAAAATTGTTGATGTTTTCCAACCACTGCTTTGCTTCAGAGGGACAGAAACCATAACTGCTCCGTGTTTTCTGTGATGCCGAGTGCTCTGCATCACGGCTTCTGATGCTGGATAGGATACTCAGATTCTGCTACCTTTGAATGACCCTTTCCCTCTCACTGGACCTTTGTCAGAAGAAAAAGGTGTCTCTCTTGCGGCTGGTTCAGCGAGCCAAAATTTAAGTAAACAGAAATGGAAGGTGCTAAGCAAACAAACTCCAGCCAAATGGAATATCCATGGTCTGGATGGCCAGCGGCCACTTTTGAGTTGTTTTCCAGCATAGAACCTTCTAGTTAGGCTACAGAATTTCAGATTGGAAAAAACAGACGCAAGAAAACAAAATCGAACTCCCAGACTTCATTTCCTCGGCTCATAACAAACCTCTACCCAAGAGGTCGACACAGGTATACAAACGGGAGGAGAGGGCAGAAACCACCCGATCTGATATTTTACAAAGGGAGAAACTGAGGACTGGGGGTCACGGGCCTTCCCGAAAGTCGCACAACCAAGAGGTGGCAGGATGAGGACCCAAGCGCGTTTCCTCCTGACCTAATCCACTTGCTCTGTGATCTTTCCTTCCAGAAAGTTCTTAAACTAAAGGAATCACATTCTTTTCTTTGACAGAGCAGCTAGGATCAGCTCTCAATTCATCAGCTGCTGGTGTGGGGCTCAGTGAGCGGGTTGTTTGTGTTCAGTAGATGATATGGAAATCATCTGGTCATCCACAGAAATAATTGCTTTTCTTTTTTAGTGCAAAGACACATGGCCTAAGTCGCTGCTGAAATTTTAGACACATGAGCCCAGGTTTGGGACTTGGCAAGAGAATAGGCCAGATGGGAACTGTTGCTTGACAAATTGAAAGTCCTTTGTTTTACAATGAACCAAACCTGGCCTCAGCTAATCCACAGAAAGGTGTGGGGGAGGGGCTATACTGCAGGGCCCATTTTGATTTTTTTTTTTTTGGCACAGATGACTGCTTGCATCAAAAAGCATTCTGGGTTTATCGTATTAACAAAATGACATACCCCAAACCATAAACTGCAAATGTAGCTTTGAGAGACTTCTTGGAGTGCTATTTAAAATATGCTGTTATGGTAGTAAATGTCTCTATAGGGGGCGCAACTTAAACTCAAGGCAACACCGTGAGTTTAAGAATAGATCGATCGGTCTCTATTTAAATGGCTGCTTTGGTGTAGCAAATCCAAACCACTTTAGAAAAATGAAGGGCTGATTTTAGCAGGAGAATCAATACTGATTATTAATACTTTGCTTTTGCAAAGTACTTTTATATGAAGACCTAGAACTAGTGTGACCTACACAAGGGAGTAAAAAAAAAAAAAAATTGATGATTTGCCTCGATTCGCAAAGCAAGATAATCCAGAGTAAGAAAATGTCTCCAGAAGTCCTGGTTTTTATTTTCCTACAAGAGCTGCAGGCCACATTTGATTTCCTTCATGCGTTTTGAAACATTTGCTATCTGGTTGTTCTCTTCCAAAATGAATTCAAGGTGATTATACTTCTGTTACCTTGAAAAGGATTTTTATTGAAAATACAGTCTGGTATTCATGCATTTCCTACGTTAGTCAGTCTGTCGATATGGAATCTTTAAAATGATTATGCATGTGCACAGCACACGATTCCCTCTGCTTTCTCCGGGCCAGCAATTCTTGACATTTCTTAGCCCAAAGGCTCCCTTATGGAATCTGATGAAAGCCTGTACACTCTCAACAATATGGACGCACACGTGGAGACAAAATTGTGTGCTAAAATGAGACCGTAGACGTTGCTTTGGAATCTTCCCTGGTAAGATCTGGAAGCACAGGAGATAGTGAAACAGGCTCCCTTAGGAAATCAAAGCGTATTTGAGAATATGAAAAGTAGTTAACTAGTAAGTTAAAAAAATCAAGATTGAGATTCATTGGATTAAATAATTAACTTTCTCAATAGAAGGTAACAGAGAAACACTCGTAGAATAAAAAACTACCTTGCTGGAGGGAACTAGAGAATTAGTCTGACCGTCTTGTTTTACACTAGGTTGGTGAAGCAACTTGGGAAGCCAGACTCTATTATTCTCAACCCTCAGTTGAGAGTCCCTTTTTCTGCTGGGAACTTATGCCATGAATTTCTGTTGCTTCTGTGGCCATTAGACTTTTATTTAGTCCTTATCAGCATCATAGTATGTGTGTATGAGTTAAACAAGAGGCTGATTGTATTTTCTCTATGGAGAATTTTAATTGACATTCATTCTCCAGCCATAACATAGCTAAATAACATAATTACGAACACATTACATTAAGGACTATGTCCATATTCACATATATCTTTAGATGATAGTCAGTTGTCATGGTATTCTTCAGGTTTTTATTGTGGCCCCTTATGGAAGCAAAGGGTTTATTGTGAAATGGTTCGGTGTGTGCCAAGTCTTGCGGGTGGTTAGCTCCTTGCAATTGTAGAAAGCCAAAGAACGGAATTCAAAGTGTTTTCTTAAGGAAGGGGCAAAGAACACTTCGTGCCTGGGAAATCGAACACTGCCTAGAAACTGCCCAGGACATAGTAGGGGAAGAAATGGAGACTGAAGTCGACCTTCCCAAGACGGCCACAAAGCAGAATTTTTTTCTTTCTTCCAGAAGTATAAGAAAGCAAGAGCATCTTATTTTGTTTGAAATACTGTATTTGTTATTTCTTAGGTCACAGAAGAAAAGCGTGGCTGGATTCACTAAAAATTGGAGCTGGACTCCATTTTCGAAAAGCTTTGTCTATATAATCTGCCACTGAGCATTTCTTCTCAGGGGGCAGGTGTCTAGCAGTTGTAATCTCGGAAAAGCGCCATTTCTATCGTCCAAATGCAAATAACATGACATTTCATTCTGAGGCCAAGAAATATCTATATTCACACATCTTAGTTTTCTTGTTCTCCTTTTCTGTTTTGTTTTGTTTTGTTTTTAACCAGGGGTTGCCTTCTATATAAATGGTCCCAAAGGAACTTTCTTTTACGCATGCTATTTTAAGCAGAGGGGTAGCTGAGAAAATCAAGGAAGGCTGTCTGAATTTAAATGGGCATAAAATCAGAGAGGAAAGAATTAGTGTTTAAGGCTAAAATAAATTGTCCTATAAATAAAATTATCTCACTGACCCCAGAATTGACAAAGGTCGCTTGGGGCTTTGACAGGGCCCCTTATCAATCACACTTGTTTGGAGATGAGAGATGCAGTTCACCTTCCTGAATGTTCTCAGATTTAAGAGCAATTTTCCTGTGTAATTAAGTGATTTATTTATTATTAATGCTAATTTCTCAGATAAGTTTTTTTTTTTTT